ATATATATATGGTGGTTTTTGTATGACAACCCTTTGACAAGGATGCCTGCAGTGCCAGAACAAGGTTATGACATCACCCGCACCCTTGATTGTAGATTTGTGAAATTTTACAAATTTGCACTGTTCGATTGTTGTCATTGTGTTAGAGTAAATGTCATGAATAAATTTGACATTAAACATAATCCAAATTGAAGTGTTACATAATTTTCAGCCCCCCTTTTTGGCATCTGCATTTGGAAGCAGGCCAAATTGACAAAGAACATGCAGAATAATGTAGTATTTTAATTCCACAGCAGAGAAAGCCATGTAGTCTCTGTAAGTAGGTCTAGGGGAAAAATATAGGTATTATCGGTTATTGGCCAAATCAATTTTAACATATCGGCATATCAGATATCGGCCAAAAATCCAATATCGTACATCCCTAATAATAAGCTATAATGTTTGTCGGTGATTCTAACATTGATCCCCGACAACTGTGGAGCTGTCTCTGGTGCAGAAGTTTGTACAGCAGGTGAAACACGAAGTAATCAAGGTTGGGTTTATTTTTAAGGATGGCCTGAAATTGTGTCAAATATCTCACGAGTTTTAACGTCTAATTGTCATCTGCTTCCCCATAAACAAAGAAAAGTGAAGATTTTGATTCAGCGTGCTCATGTGGCAACTTGACAAACACAAGTGCTCATGTTTTGCACCCAACTGCGTTACAAAACCTTAACTTCTGTAAAAACTTTCTGAGAAGTCGTGACTTTTTTCGTAAATAAGATCCAATTGTTTTGGAAATAAAAATAAATCTTTACAGTTCTACTTTGATTTGACCCTTCTAAAAATGCTCCTGTCCGGTTTTTATCCTCAAAAGCGAACGAGATCTCCAATCAAAGGTAAAGTTTTGAGGAACAGGAGAGAAAATTTGCAGAACAAACGTTTTTTATTGCACTCATGCCTCGAGAAAAAAACAAAAACTAGAGGTCTCTCCAAGCGGACGTTCAAAAACTTCTGCTGAGAAGCTGTAAAAGAGGGGACGGTGCTGTAACCAGGGCCGGGACGACAGGGACTTAATGCAAACATCCGGAGCCGTGCTTCGCCTTTTACAGCCTCAAAGAAGTGACAGAAACTGTGACAGTAAACATGTAGCAGGAGCACAAACTGAGAAGTAGCTATACTGTATACAGTAATTTTATACATATGGTTTTTGAGGTTACTTGTGTCAGAAGGATTTAGCTCAGGGGTCTGCAACCTGCGGCTCTGGGGCCACGTGTGGCTCTTTGGTACCTCTGCAGCGGCTTTGACCAAAACTAAAATAAAACTGAATTTTATTTAAATTATTGCCAACAATCAAAATGGCTAGTTTTAGCAGATTTCCTGTCATTTTCAAATATGCGAAGAATAGTACAAATACACAGCGTAAAACGTGAACTACGTCATGCTAGTAGTTTTTTTAGCCACTTTAAGTCCACTTCCAGTCTCTCAGCGTGATCTTTCTCTCAAAACCACCAGAATGTTTTGGAATATGTGTAAGACAAGCTGCTGAGAAGGAATATTTGATGACTGGAAGAATAAAACACAATAAAACAAAGTCAAAGTAAACGGAAGTATTTATTTTCCTTTAAAAATGTAACTGGATATCAAACAAACTGGCCTAATTTCACTGTCTTTAGGATACTTAATTCTTCAACAATCAAGAGAACTCACATCAGTCTGCAGAATCCAGTGTTTACATTTTTAGTTAAAATTATATATATTTTCCTTCTTTACATGAATCTGGTCTTTTCTTTTGTATTAAAATGTAAAAATATCAATAAATGTTAATAATAGTCAGACATTTTTTGTTTTATAATATCACCCCTACTGGCCGAAAAAGCCATCTCCAACAAACGTAGTGATAGTACACAGTTGTAGCAGGTTTTGTGGCTTTGGAAACATCATAATTAGTAAGCAAAGTGGCAAAAATGGCTCTTTTTTATCGCAAAGGTTGCAGACCCCTGATGAAGGTAAACACTGGGATACAAAGTCAACACTTTATAAATCTGTTGGGGCACGTCAGTGCAGCTGGGTTCTATCTCACAAAACGTGCTGAAGGTGCTTCGGTACAAAACCATTTATAAGATTTGTTTATCAAAGGTAAACATCACTCACTGTCACTCTGCCACCGTGAGAATGAACAGAAACTCATGTCTGTGTGGGTTTAACGACAGCAGTGAAGGGTTAAAACACAATCAGGCTGTGCTTTTAGGGACAGTGTGTGTCGTCTACAGCTTTTCAAAGCCGACGGCGCAGAGGAGGAAGATGGCATAAAGCAGCAGGAGACAGAGGCCCAGCCTGCGGTCCAACCTCCAGCGGTTCAGATGGACACACAGAACCTGAGGAGTGATGGAGAGAGAAAGACGAGCTTAATGAAAGGCAGCCTTCATTTCCTGTTGTGCTGCTGTGAGCAAAGAATCCTATAAAAGTCTATTCAAAGCTCTCAGACTGTGACGATAGGATCAAAACGATGTGATGAGGAGAAACAGGAAGAAGAAGTGAGTGTGTTTGCACTCAGAATTAGATCTGTGATGTTTAACAGCCGAGGATGGGGGTGGGGGTGGGGGGTACTCACGGTGAGAGTGACCGAGGCCAGCAGCAGAATCACAGAGTACACCAGACCTTTGCTGTTGATTGTCACCTAAAACCAGACAGAAAATAGGTCAAGCCTTAAAGCTAAACATTTATTAAAGCCTACATCTTACTTTGACATAAAATGTCTCGGAAACGTCATTTCTCTTCATTTTTATTTCATTCTAGAGATTTTGGCCTGTGTGAAGCAACAAAAACAAGCTGCAATCACACCGACATATTTATGGCATCTGAACAATCGTAGTCCACGTCTTCGTTTTAGCTCAGTTTTTAGATGTTTTTGGAGAACTTCTGTCATATTGTTACAAGTTTTAATAGTTTTAAAACCTCGCCATGTTGGTGGCGGTTTACAAAACCATGTTACATTTTGAAAAGTCAAAAATGGAAACCTTAATAAGGTCCCGTTGAATGAGCTGGTGTGTCAAACCTTTGGCTGTGAGTCAGATGTGTCCTAACTAGACGTCCCTCAAACACAGCAGCAACAAGCTTAGTGCTAAGGCTGCATGACCCGCTGGCGTTTTACCACCGATCCGTAGCTGACGATGAGAGTCCTCAGCGCCCACGGGAAGCCCAGGCCCAGCAGCACGTCGAAGATGTTACTGCCGATGGAGTTGGACACAGCCATGTCGCCCATCCCTGCAACGTTCACACCCACACAGTCACACAAAGGGGCTACAACGTGCGTCCAACAGGGCTGCAGCATGTATTCACTTCTCCACCTGCCTAAATGGACTACGAGTAAACTCAAGTACATTCAGACACAGATCTCTGTCACAGCTCCAAAAGAGTTCAGTGGACGTTTGAACACTGAGGGGCAAAACTGCAGAGGGTTTAATGTACTTATCCTGTTAGAAAACTAAACATTATCTTTACTGCATCCTGTTTTTTTCTTTATTTTTTAAAGTTTTACTAAATGAATTAGCATTCCTTCTATACAGAAATCAATTCAAAAGTTCGCAGGATTATCACACAGTCCAGACACTCAGGCTACGTTCACACTGCAAGTCTTAATGCTTAATTCTGATTTTGATTTTTTTGCGTGGTCATTCATATTACAATTGAAAAAGCGACTGCCTTCACACTCCAGTGTAAACAGTCTACGAATCTGACGTGACCCACTTGTGCAGATGAATACGTGATGTCACCCGCAGGCCGCAGCACGTTGTTTACAGAAGTATCTAGAGAAACTGCATTTCCTGCCAAAATTTATGTATAAACTTGCTGAAAAACAGCTGAAATTGGCGAAGAAAAAAACATACTGAATTGTAGCTGAAATGGAAGAACAAGCCTAAATTAGCAGAAGAAAGCAGAAAGAACACATATTTGCTGAATTAGGTTTAAATAAGCAGAAATGGGTATAAAAGTTGGGAAATTAGATGAGAAAAGCTGAAATTTTTTAAAAATTGCTGAAAAGGGGGAAAGAAGCTTAAACTACCAGGAGGTGGAAAGAGCAAATGAGCTCCAAAAAGGTGGAATTAGCTGAAAAAGCTCAAATTAGCATAAAAACTGATAAATTGTAGCTGAAATATTAGGTAAAGTTGAAACAAGCCGAAAAAAGCTGAAAGGAGCATAATAAGCTTAAATTATCATAAAGAAGTTAATTAGATTGAAAGGAGCAAAAATTACCATGAAAAATTTGATTTTTATCAGAAACCAGCTGAAATTAGCAACAACAAAAAAATTAGGAATGCAAAAAATGTGGAATTAGCTGAAAAAGTTAAAATTAGCATAAAACAGCTGTAGCTGAATTTGCAGAATAAGCTGAAACTTGTAGAAATAAGCTGAATGGAGCATAACAAGCTGAAATTAGCACAAAGAAGTTAAAAGAAGCAGAAAAATGTTGTAGTTAGCAGAAAGAATCTGCAAAGAACACAAAACAGCTGAAAAACAGCTAAAATTAGCTGAAAGTAGCTGAAAAAATGTTTACATTTGCACAAGGAAGCTGAACCAGAACAAAATGTGAAAGAAGCAGTAAAAGGCTGTAAACAGATCTAAAGATCTGAGAAGTAAAATGAGCTGTTCTTTTTTTCTACTAGGGGAAAAAAAGTCAGAAAAGGCAAAATATTTCAAAAAGCTAAAGTTGCACCAATACCAAAAGTTATAGCAGGATTGTCCCGAAAGAGCTGAATGTTTTGATTTGATTTGTTGAAATAGCTTGAAAACTGCAGGACGAGAAAGATTCACACCAACATGGATGCTACACACGTTAGCATGTGTGACTCTGAAGTTGTTGTGTAATCAGAATTGATTCAACTCTTTTCTGATGTAATTGTTTCTTCCACTGTTTATATCGTCTCCTCTGGTGCAGCGTTGTATTTCTGGAATAGGAACGATGTGATGAAAGCGATACAAACTCAAGTATCGAAACCATCGCGTTAGTATCGATTAGGGCTGACACTAATGTTGGTATCATATGTTGTTGATTCTCAATCATTCAGGACATGGCAATAAAAAAAACATGAAGCAACTGAATGTTTGTTCTGTAGTTTTAGACGTACGAAGGTCCAAGATTTAAACAGTATGAGGTTGATATAAATAGTATCGATATTTGGATCGATCTGCAAACCCCTACCTCACTGACATAGGAGTCAAATCAAACGAGACATGACCGTTCAAACTGCTGTTGTTTTAACAAAAAACATCTAATATCGATTTAGTATCACATATGAAAAAGACCTGGGTCGGATTTGAAAAAAAAAAAAAATTAATAAATTCAGATTTGTCAGGTTCAGACTGTCATAAAAAATGTATTTGGGCCGCAGTGCGGACGTAGCCCTAGATATTGTTCAGGAATACTAGTTTGTAGGTATTTTTTGAAACATAAAGCCAGTAGAATGACGTGTACTTTTTTATAAACAAAAATATCTCACTGCCTTCCACTTGTGTGAATACAGAACCATGTTTCTCTCAGTTGTACCATCTTCTCAACAATCCATTGTTTGAGTTTCTGTTGGGTAGGTTTTACTACCAACAGTGTAACGTGTGTGTATTTTTTCATTTCAGATGGTATTACAAATCCTTTCAAAGTACGGTAATGTGTTTTGACCCTGACTGTTGGTAGATGGTGTCATTTCATAACATGCACACACACCTTGTCGGGCCACGATGAGACTGGCCATGCAGTCGGGAACGCTGGTGCCAGCTGCAAGGAACGTGATGCCCATGATGACGTCTGGGATCCCGAACGTGTAGCTGATTATGGTCACCTTAGGAGAGGAGAGGACGGCTGAACGTAAGTGATTTGATCCGTGTGTGTTCACGAGAGTTGCCGCGCTTGCGTTGAGTTTCGTACCATCCAGACCATGAGGTAGGAGAAGAGGGCGATCCAGAGCGTGGAGGCCAGGAAGGTGAGCAGGTACCAGCGCTCCCATGGCTGCTGGCTACAGTCGGGGATGGTGCAGTGAAGCAGGAAGCTCACAGGCCAGGACAGGAGCCACTTCAGTCTCATGCACGGACCATCTGAGGGAACGACGAGAACGCACACGAATGTACACAATGATTCCCCCTACGGGAGTCATTACAGATTCATCTCAGCTTTTAAATTATTCACACGGCTCAGCCTGGGCGTGTGGGTCGGCTCCTTTAAACGAGATCCATCTGCTCTAAAACCGTCGTTTTAGGGTGTCAAGCATCAACTGGTTGTTACAGAAGAACCAGTGAGCCGTTACAGGAAGGTTTTAGTTTACAATTAGTCATTTTTTTTGGAAAACAAGGGAATGAAAGTTGGATCACATCAGCTCCCAGGAGCATAAACATAACCTCAGGATTATGCTTTTATTTTGAAAGGTTTATTGCATAATTATAACCTTGTGTGATTCAGTTTCTGACGTTATCGTTTGTTTAGATGGTTCCAAACAGAGTTGTTTACTAGCACTTGTTCGTTTAACAGTTTAAATAAAATAATATTCCAAGTGATTACAAACACGGCCTCTTTCCACCTCTTTATTCACTCACCTGGCAGGACGAAGGGGTTGAAAGCGTTCTCCTCCTCTCCTTCCTCCTGCTCTTCCTCCTCCTCCTCCTCTTCTGGCTGTGAACTCCCACCCGCCTCGCCCCCTGATTCTTTCCCCGTGTCTTTCTCTCCCTCCTGCGGTTGCCTGTCCCCCTCAGCCATCGTCCCATTCTCTCTCCCCCACGTTCCACCAGCGGCCAAAACGTCCTCTCCCGAAGGTGCACCCCCCTCTGGGCTCACCCGAGCTCGAATCAGCCTCTGCCTCTGTGGGAGTGGAGAGACATCAGATGAAATGAGGAAGGAAAAAAAAATGATACGACGATTGTTGCTCAAAGGTTTTGTGAAAATGATTTGATCCAAGTGAAGCTAAGAACATGAGAAATGGAAGGTGGAGTGATTAGGCAGCAGACGAGGCGGGGGTTTGAAAACACTGATTGGGGTTCTGAATAAGAGGGACAGAATTGACAGGTGTGGTTTAATTTAGAGAGACATGACCAGATGTGTGTTTGTGTGTGTGTGTGTGTGTGTCTG